CAGAGAAGCCTCAATGTACTCAGGAGTGTTCACACAGATCTTGAAAGAGGAGAGAGGACTGTATCAGAACAAAGTGTTCTGTTTCATCCATCTGAGTGTTCAGGAGTTTCTGGCTGCTCTTTATGTCAACCTAACCTTCATTAACTCTGGCATCAACCTGGTAGAAGACAAACAAACAGCATCCAAGTGGTCTAAATTATTTAGGAAGAAAAATAATTCAAAATATCTCCACAGGAGTGCTGTGGATAAGGCCTTAGAGAGTCCAAATGGGCACCTGGACCTCTTCCTTCGCTTCCTCCTGGGTCTTTCCGTGCAGGCCAATAAATCTCTCCTACGAGACCTTCTGACATGGACGGGATGTTGCTCACGGAACAATCAGAAAACAGTCAAGTATATCAAGAAGAAGATCAAAAACAATCTGTCCTTAGAAAAAAGCATCAATCTGTTCCACTGCCTGAATGAACTGAATGATTGTTCTCTAATTGAGGAGATCCAACAGTCCCTGAGATCAGGAAATCTCTCCACAGATAAACTGTCTCCTTCTCAGTGGTCAGCTCTGGTCTTCATCTTACTGTCATCAGAAAAAGATTTGGATGTGTTTGACCTGAAGAAATACTCTGCTTCAGAGGAGACTCTTCTGAGGCTGCTGCCAGTGGTCAAAGCCTCGAACAAAGCTCTGTAAGTAAATAACTGCTCATATGTTTACTGTTTAAAAATATAATTCTGTGAATCTCTAAAGCATGGTCATGTCATACAAGATGTCCTTCAGACAAAGGTGTATGTCAGGTTAAGGCTGGATTGTACTCCAGTGTTGTAAAAGACCTTTTTTTTTTTACATTTAGTTTGATGGTAGAAGAAGGTAGCACATGGTGTGGTTTCTGCAAACAGGAGCAGGGAAAAACAATACAAATCAAATGAAGACTAAAAGTGAAGACTGTGTGTTTTTGTTCTTTTTCATAAATTTTCAGACTAAGTAGCTGTAACCTCTCAGAGAGAAGCTGCAAAGCTCTGTCCTCAGTTCTCAGCTCCCAGTCTTGTAATCTGAGAGAAGTGGACCTGAGCAACAACAACTTGCAGGATTCAGGAGTTAAGCTTCTGTGTGGTGGAATGAAGAGTCCTCACGTTAAGCTGGAAAGCCTCCGGTCAGATCAAGTGATAAAATGTTTTTTCTTTTCTTTTCAAATGACAGTACAAACCAAAAAGAATTGAAGCTAATTAGGTGACTTGTTTAACATTAAGCAATGGGATTTTAATCAAGTGATGAAATATTCAAAACAAATATTGTGTTTCTCCATGGACTTACTTTAAAACCAATGTATCTGTCTTTCTTACTCACCATTTTCAGACTGAGTGGTTGTGACCTCTCTGAGAAAAGCTGTGAAACTTTGTACACAGTTATCGACTGCCAGCCGCCTAGTCTGAAAGAGCTAGACCTGAGCAACAATGACTTGCAGGATTCAGGAGTGAAAATTATGTTTGCTAGATTGAAGAGTCAACATTCTACACTGGTAAAACTCAGGTGAGATTAAGGGATACTCTGTGTTAAATTATATTTTCCATATTTTGGATATCCGTATTTTGGGGATTTCAATTGACATCAAAGCAACTTATTTTTTTGTTTGTTATTTACTTATTCCAAATGACTATAAAGATGTAGTAATTCCATCCAGTCAACCTGGATGGACTAACTAAATAATGAGTAACTCCTCACTGCATCTAGAAAAAAAAACATTAACACCAGCCTTGTCTCCTTTTTCATAATTATTTCAGTATAAGTGGCTGTAACCTCTCAGAGAAAAGCTGTGAAGCTCTGTCCTCAGTTCTCAGAAAACAGTTGTCTAATCTGAGTGAGCTGGACCTGAGTAACAACAACCTGCGGGATTCTGGCGTGAAACTTCTTTCTACTGGAATGAAGAGCCAACACTGCAAACTAGAAAAACTCTGGTCAGCTAACAATCAAGTTTAATTTTAGCCAACTAGACAAACATCAATCATATGTTGTTATGTTTTATATTCTGACCACTTCAGTCCAAGTCACAGTAGTTTGCAATATTTGTACCCTTTTCCACACAGAGTAATCATGACTAATACCCATCTTGGAACAACACAAAATAACATCCACACTAGCAATTCCTCACTGTACAAAAATGTATTTGAACACTTTGATAGACTTTGTATTTTTGTTCATAATTATTCAGGCTGAGTGGCTGTAACATCTTAGAGAGAAGCTGTGATGCTCTGTCCTCAGTTCTCAGCTTCCAGAACTCCACTCTGATGGAATTGGACCTGAGTAACAATGACTTGAAGGATTTAGGAGCAAAGCCTTTGTTGGCTGGACTAGAGAGGCCAGACTGTGCACTGCAAACTGTCAGGTGAGGTCAAGTGATATTTTTTTTCTTCTGATAGCTGATAAAAATACCAACTAAGAAGGCTAATTTAGTATTTCATCTGTGTGTCAGTTCTTTAAAATATAAATAAAATTAGCAAAACCAAGACTTTCAACTCACATAAGAAAATATTTCACTCATGACAGAACTTAAATAACAGAACAGATGTTTAAAGTAAGATATTTACAATTTCCTGCACAAAATGAGCTAATTTTCAATTGTGATGCTTGCTGCAGGTCTCAAATTGCTGGGACAAACACCATGTTTACCATGGTGTCGCAGCTCCTCTTCTTTCCAAAACAGTTTGAAGACGACTGGGCATCAAGGTTGTGGTGTTTTGGTGTTCAAGTTCTGTCCAATTATTTGCCTGACTCTGATGCAAAGAGGTTGTGGTCATTTTTGCGATGTTTTTCATGTAATGCAACAACAATTTATGTGCTTATGCCTTCTGCCATAATTTAATGTGCGAGAAATATCAGTGAAACACTACTGTCCGGTGCATGCCAATTACTGTCAGTAACAGTCATAGCAGCAATGATCACAGTCAAACACGGTTACTTTTGGCAGGAATTGCAGCTAATATTTGTATATTTGTCTGACTGCTTTTATAATATTGCACTGTGAGATGGATACTCCAAATGCAACAACAGATTCAGTGACTGTCCCGCAAGTGTCCAACCTTTCTATTACTAAATCAATGCAGTTGTTAATTTTAATGTTAAATTTAAACACTCTCCCATTGCACAATAATATATGTTCGATTTGATTCAGTTCAGTTTATCAATGTATACAGCACCGAATCACAACATCAGTCACCTTGAGGCATTTTACATTGTAAGGTAGACCCTACAATAATACATACAGAAAAAAAATCCAACACTTATATGACCTCATATGAGCAAGCACTTTGGTGTACTTATGTGTCACGAGCAAAAGCATGTGCTCTTTGAACACACAACATAATTTCTATTCTGAAAGTAAATGCAGCTATGACCTTTGAACAAACTCAAGATTGCATGTTTTGTGCCTTGGGTTTCATGTTGGGTTTCATGTTGAGTCCTTGGGACTCCCCCGGCAGCCTACAACTATTGTAGCATAACTAAGGGAGGATTCAGGGTCACCTGATCCAGTCCTTACTATATGCTTTAGCAAAAAGGAAAATTTGAAACCTAATCTTAAAAGTAGAGGTAGTGTCTGTCTCCTGAATCCAAACTGGAAGGTGGTTTCACCGAAGAGCCTGAAAACTGAAGGGTCTGCCTCACATTCTACTTTCAATACTCTAGTAACAACAAATAAGCCTGCAGAGTGAGAGCGAATTGCTCTAATGGGGTGATATGGTATTATAAAGTCATCAAGATAAGAAAGGGCCTGATTCCTTAAGACTTTGAATGTGAGGAGCAGGATATTGAATTCAATTCTGGATTTAAGAGCGAGCCTATGAAGGGAAGCCAATTTAGGAGAAATCCTGGTCAAAAATGACTCCAAGGTTCCTCACAATGTCAATGAAGGACGAAGCCATTCTGTTGTAATAGTTGCAGTATGTGGTTTTGCATTGCCCTGGTGAATACTTCCCTGAAATAGATGTCATCCGGAGGTAAGCATATGTTGCTCTAAAGTCTTTATATACATTTCAGCTTTCATAGTTCCTTCCAAAACATGCAAGCTGTCCATACAAACAAGTCAGATGTTATGAGGTTGTATAAGTGCATATGGTATAAAAAAAATACAATTCATATAGCCATTTATCAAAGAAAACTTAATATTGCCAAATATTAAGTATTCACTGCAGCTTAAACACACTTTAACACCAGTGTCTTTTGTCGTCTTGTTAATATATTTTCAGAATGTGTGGCTGTAACCTCTCAGAAAAGATCTGTGAAACTCTGTCCTCAGTTCTCAGCTTTCAGTCATCTGGTCTGAGAGAACTGGGCCTGAGTAACAACAATCTGCGGGATTCAGGAGTGAAGCTTCTGTGTGATGGAGTGAGAAGTCAACAATGTGTATTGGAAATTCTCAGGTCAGGCTTCACTCATGCTACTTTAAAATCTGACTCATACCATTAGTCAAAAATCTAACTCATGTAGAACTTTATCGCCATATCCAAAACAAGACAGAGATTGTATTTATATTAACCCTTTAAAGCCGGTCGGAGCGGGCACGCTGCGTTTTGTGTAACTATTTTTAAATCCCTGTAGAACCGAAACCACGTAAGCTAGCACAATAATTTTTTTTGCATATGAAACTGGAGTAGTTGTACTTATATCTTATGCCATCAGCTTGTCCTAGGTCACAGTTTGCCGCTTTGCCGATCCGATCAGCTGGTCATAACACGTCCTACATTGACATAGACGTCAGAGAGAACTATCGCATGTCCGCCATTACCTGCCCAAAATTGGAAGTGACATCGTTTCGCGGAAAATGTCGTTTTTTTTACATATAGGCCTTGTAAGCCTATAGTGGTGTTTTTAAAAGTCATGTTTTACTTCATCCTTTTCTGAATAGTTTCTGGGATGCTTAGAACTCAAATTGCACTGCTTTAAATAGTTTAGTTTGATGCACATGCTGTTTTCTTTGCAAATTTACATTATACGATTTATTTTCGTTTTTTTCTACAGTAGATAAAAATTGGTGTATTTCAAAAATAAAACTATGAAGACACTCAAAATAAATTTCCTGTTGTTGTAAACTATTTTTTGCAACTTTTTTGTATTTACAGTTTTGAAGGATAAACCTCTTAAATTTCTCTAAGTAGAAATCTATGTGAAAAAAACAAAAAAAAAAACAACAACTTTTAATTTCTTTGTAGTTCATTGCACTTTTTTGCAATTTATGTAGTTACTATGGACTTAATACATCCATGTTATTAAATTTTGGGCTATAACAGTTGTATTGATGTATAGCAACTTGAAATGCTCCCAAAAATGGCACTACAGCATGTAAAAATATATAGTAAGCTCTGGCAGACTTGGTTCTATGGTAGGTCTTAAAGGGTTAATATATCTGTATATACAAGCAATATACAGGTATATTAATATATCTGTATATTGCTTCTATGGGATCTCCATTTCACAGTCTTTTAGAATGCTTGACATGAAAGAAATTCTTGGAGATTTTTGTCTAAATGATCACATTAGTTGTGCAAGGTAATAAGAGGATTTTTTTCTATGTGATATTATGCAGCATTCACAAACAGTACATGTGCACTAACTGGGATTCATAAATACAAATTTAGAGCTGCCTTTGTCTGGGCATACAAGTAATTAATGAAAGCCTGACTGTCTCTGAAAATTTAAATATCTAGAAAATGATTACAACTCGGGATGGACCGATCCGATATTATGTATCGGTATCAGTCCGATGCTGACCTAAATTACTTGATCGGATATCAGAAAGGAATAAAAAATGTAATCCGATCCATTAAGCACAAAAGCAACTTAGAAAACATGCGACATGGCGTAACCCAGCTCATGACCTTAGCATGTCAGACCAGAATGCGTCACGTGATAGAGCGCCTGTGGCGTGCGAGACCTGTCGGCGGTCTGGAGTTACTTTACACTGAAAGCATTTGGAGCCTCGCTACTTGCTTCCAAAATGGTATTTCATATCAGAGAAAGCTATCCCAGAGAAGTAAAGCAAGTCTGTAAGTTCATCTCTGAATGTCTGTAAAGTATTTCCACGCTAAATTTAACAACCGATATATAGCACAAAAGCTGATCGTGATTTTTCCAATTACAGCCATTCCAGAGAAGAGTGGCCTGAAAATTGAAGGCTCTGCCTCCGTAACATTCATCATCCCCCCATCATTTCTAAATTCAGCTGCATAATCCTGTCTGAAACTTTTCTCACCTCCACAACACTATTCACATAGTCTTCCGTCAAAGTTACTCATGCTCCATTTCTCTTCCTAACTATGCCATGGTAGAACATGTTAAAAGAGCACTCCGCCTCCTAGCCTCTCTTCACCTCCACCTATTCTGTACCTTACTTCTCTCTTGATTAATTATGAAGTTATTACACTTATTTCATAATAAATGTATATTAGAAAAATCATCATAGATGTAACTCACCTGTCTGAAATTTTGCTGGGGAAGTGTGTTATTGCCGGGTGGATTGTTGGGGTTTCTTTATTTTCTTTCTATTTTCTTTCTTTTTATCGTCTGTGAAAAGGTGTTTGCCACCTTTGTGATTTCTTATTATTTTTACATTGGGCACACATAAACTTTTCAGATCTTCAAAGAAATTTAAATATCAAGTAAGGTTATAAGGCCAGTTCTAAAGCTGTGGAATTCCAGCAAACCACAGAGAGAGCCATTGTCCACTAATGGTGAAAACATAGAAGAGTAGCAACTGGTTGACTGCAAATACCCCAAAAATGAAGCAATGACTAATCCAAGAGGTCACAAAAGACCCCACAACAGCATTGAAAGAAATGCAAACCTCACTTGCCTCAGTTAAGGATGGTGTTAGTCCACCATAAGAAAGAGACTGAGCAAAATGGCCTGCATGCCAGAGTTCCAAGACAGTGTGATGATCCTGTTTTCCCCAATAAGTCAAGTCAAGTCAAGTCATCTTTATTTATATAGTACATTTAAAAGACATCAGGTGTCAGCCAAAGTGCTGAACAGAGAAATATACTAATAATTAAAATAAATAAGATGAAAACATAGAAACATTGTGAGACATCCATATATTTTTGTAAAAAAAAAAAAGTGTACATGCAAATATGCACATACGTATGCAAAAATGTACACATTCACACACAAGCACACATACGTGAACATAAAATACATGTATACGTGTCTACACATGCAAACAACATCCAATGAGATAAAAGACCAGGGTAGCTGAAACAGAATAAAAGGGGTGTCAGAGAGATCCGAAAGCCTTGGAAAATAGGTAGGTCTTCAGATTTGATTTGAAGACTTCCAAGGACGAAGAGGATTTTATGAAAGGGGGAAGACTATTCCAGAGTTTCGAGGCGGCAATGGAGAAAGCCTGTCCCCTTCAGATTTGAACTGGGAGCGTGGAACTAATAAAAGCATCTGACTGGAGGAGCGCAGAGTTCGAGTGCAGGCGGGAAAGGCTTGAGTGACAGATGCCTAGATAGAGAGAGTTACAATAGTCAAGACGTGATTATATGAAAGCATGGATAACAGTTTCCTGGCCTTTAGATGACAGGATATTTTTGAGTTTAGAAATGCTCCTGAGCATTAAGTATTAAAAGTTCTGGTTAATTATTCACAGATGTATTGTTTTGTGTGTCTGCAGTCTCTCAGGCTGTCTGATCACAGAGGAAGGCTGTACCTCTCTGGCCTCAGCTCTGAGCTCCAACCCCTCCCGTCTGATAGAGCTGGACCTGAGCTACAATCATCCAGGTACCTCAGGAATGAAGCTGCTCTCAGCTGGACTGAAGGATCCAGGCTGGAGACTGGACACCCTCAGGTATGGAGAGAATGTCTGATAGAGGAGGAGTAAGAGGAAACAGTTTATGTGTCCTTCACTCAGGTCCCACAGACATGATCTGAGCAACCACACACAGTAGGTTTTTCTTTACTCAGAAAAGAAATACTAGTCTACTTGGATGATAAATTCATAAATGATAGAGGGAAATCTGTCTTGAAACTGCCAAATTAGGCAGGGGTGTGGGTGTGGGGGGTAGCTCAGTTCAGGGGCGGGATAGCTCTGTAGGTAGAGTGGTGGCCCCATGATCAGAAGCTTGGGGTTTCGACTCCACTGAACGCTGAGCGCTGCATTGGTGGCTGCCCACTGCTTCATTGGGTGAATGGGTTAAATGCAGAGCAGAGATTTCCCTGCGGGTACTAGCACATACACACTGTTATGTTGCGTTCTATTTAGAAGAAATTATTCTTGTAGATATGTTTCTTACCTTTTCACTTATGAGCTAATCAGAAACTGTTTGCCTCATCTACCATTTATCAATATTGAATTTTTCTTTTGTTACTTCTACGCAATCATTACATTATCTGAATGTGTGGAATGCTGAACACAGTTATGTTTAATAGGGGACGCAACATTACATTGATGTATCATGATTTATTAAAATGCTGTGAAACACGAGAAACTGAGAAAAACAGAAATATAAGAAACCCAAGTATAACAGAATCTACAAGTAAGTTTGATGCAGGTTTTTGATGATCAGAAAATCCATCAAAGAGAAACCAGATTACATATGATGATAAGAGTTACAGTTGATTCCTATTAAGCACAGATACACGGTACCACTGAAAAAGCATGGCAGGCTGGACATGCTCTCTGCTTCTAATTAGAATGTATTAGTTATCAGATAGCTACAGTGTTGAACACTGAATATAGGTGACAGACTAAACTATGACTGAATAAATTCTGCCTAAACCAGTAGAGAGACAGGGCTCATCGAGTATCACTATTGAAAAGCTAATTGTATGCAGTCTCATAATGTTACATTTTAGTACCTGCTTGGATCGCTCAGAACCGGAATGGGTACTAAAAAAGCACCAGGTACCTAATGGAAAACCCTGAAAACATTGATGAACTGTACTGAGACGATCCAAGAAGGTACTGATTGAAAAGGGACTATCGATTGAGGTCTCCATCAAACACTACATCCTCTCAGTATGTGTTTGGAGATAATAGTAGCATCCTCAGTCATAACTGACTTGGATTTCTTGCTGTGACAATTCAGAATCATCAGAAACAGAATACTTTATTTATCACTAGAGGAAATTATGTTGGTTACAGTGTTCCAGTAAAAACAGTAACAAAAACAGACACTACAAGAAGTAAGAAATA